AGCCCCTCACTGGGGGATTCTAGGCAGGGGCTCTACCACTGAGCCACGCTCTAGCTCCTCATTGAGAGGAGGTAGGCAAGCATTCCACTGTGTAATCAGTTTTTACTTTATGACGTTTGCTTTTTTCAAGACTTCATAGCTTTTTAAAATTTGTCTTTATTGCTGGGCAGTGGTGGTGCATCCCTTTAATCCCAGCACTCAACAGGCAGAGGCAGGTGGAGCTCTGTGAGTTTGAGGCCAGCCTGGTCTACAGAGCTGTTTCAGGACAGCCAGGAGTCTTGAAAACAAACAAACAAAGATTGTCCTTATTTACCGAGGGGTCTGCATGTGCCACGGAGCACATGTGGAGCTCAGAGGACAGCTTATGGGAGTCCATTCTCTCCTTCCACCATGTGGGACCTGGAGATCGAAACGTCATCAAGCTTGGTGACAAATGCCTTGACCCGCTGGGCTGCTCCTTGCCAGCCCCACTTTGAATTTTGAAACTCTGTAATTATGGACACTGATACGTGGGGCTGTTCCGTCCTCCTGAACTGCCCCCTCTGTCATCAGATCCTGTCTCTCGGTCCTGGCCCCAGTGCTTGTTCTGAGGTTAGCGTTGCACTACAGCTTGTGGATTCCTGGTGTTTACATTGTGTAGCTTGCCCATCTTTTCATTTGTGTGTATGTGTGTGAAATTTGTTTATTTTATGTGGATGGCAATTTTGCCTGCCTGTTTTGTGTGTTCCTCATGTGTACAATGCCCAGAGAGGGCAGAAAAGAGCGTCAAATCCTCTGGAACTAGAGTTACAGATGGGATTCCCTCCCTGTGTGAACACTGCAGGGTTGTTCTTTGCTTGAGAGGATTGCCTGTCCTTCTGAGGTCTCACCTCTCACACTGATATCTAGCAAAAAGTTCAAGCGAACCCTGTGTTTCGGGACACCCCCCACCCTATTTTGTGTGCCTTTTTCCTTTTGAGTGTTCTGTCTCCGAAATCCCATTCATCTTCAATCCTGCCTAGAATCCCCCAGTGAGGGGTTGGGGTGTGACTCAGTGGTA